ACTCAGTGCAGCGGTCTGGAGTTGGCCATTTCTGCAGCTGGAGTCTCTCTGACGCCCACACCTAAGCTGGGTAAAGGTTCCAGTCTCTTTGGCAGCAACAACAACAGCAACAGAGAAAATTAAAACAACAACAACAACAACAACACAGGCATCGACAAGGGCCGCCACAACGACATCAGCGATGGTAAACTCAATAGCAACATCAACAGCAGCGCAGTGGAGGGGAATTAGAGGTTTGATTGGGCTGGCGAGGTGGGGCTTCGGGTTGAAGGTGCAATTTACCGGTCCCCCCCCTTTCTACCTGGTGTTTCAGCATGTTGATTCGTTTCTCCTTGTTATTCGGCACCGGGTGGGAGTAGGATAGATGATCTCCCCCACCGGGTGGGAGTAGGATAGATGATCTCCCCCTTGTTGATTGGAGTTGAAGGGCCCTCAACTTCCAATCATGACGGGGAGTTGATTGCCCCCAAGGGGAGGTAGGTTGTTTAGGGTCTCGAGTTTTGGTTTGATTTGCTTGTTGGGGTGATCTATGAAATTTGTTTCGTTAGGATTAAGCTTCATGCGCAGGAGGTCAATCCTTCCCTCGCGCAGGGAAGTAATCAATGTCTCTGCTCTCTTCAGAAATATGGTAGATATTTCCGAAAGGGTTTCCCTTCATGCGACATAGGTTTCCCTTCATGCGACATAGGTTTGAGATACGAACATAAACAGGCTGTATTGGATGCATACCATGATATCTCTACACATCTGATTCACTGTATAGGGATGCTGGACCTAATTTCCAGCCCACACACACCATATCATTGTGAAGGGAGGCTGGACCCGATTTCCAGCACACACATCATATCATTGTCAAGGGACCCTGGACCCGATTTCCAGCAGGTGTAGCTCCCCACCAATCGATGGAGCCTTCAACGGTGAGTAGGTTTTCCCACGCTGAAGTTTGGTAAAAAAAAAAAAGAAAAAAAAAAGGTCCCAGTCTCTAGTCCACGAATTTCGGGTTCTTTGTGGAGGATTCCCGGCCTGTGATTTGTCACCACTGTTTTGCTAATAACAATTACCTTTCCTTGTATATATTAAAAAAAAACGCCAACTCGAGAGTGGTTTGGCGAGGCCCATTATAAATTGAACTCCCGCCCCCTCAGCCCTGGTGGGCCCCTAAGTGGACCGTTGCCATGTGTGTGGCTAAGAATCCGAAATCTTCGATAGGCATGGTGTTTCTCTGATCGCGATTTTCATTCAGACTGTAGAAAAGGGCACGCAGCCTGACATCTGCCTGTGAGATCGGCCCTCGCAATGAGATTCGCTTCAGGGGGCGTCAATTCTGTTCCGCATCCTAAACACTTAAACAGAACCCACAGCCTGTCGTGCACGACCACTGGGTTCCCGTGTGTTGGCACTCTCTCTCTCTCTCTCTCTCTCTCTCTCTCTCTCTCTCTCTCTCTCTCTCTCTCTCTCTCTCTGTGTCTGTGTGTGTGTGTGTGTGTGTGCGTGTGCGTGTGTGTGGCAATCTCCGGGTGTGTGCGTCTGTGTGTGTGACAATCCTGTGTGTGCGGAGCTCGCCGCATTACTCTCTCTCTGTGTGTGTGTGTGTGTGTGTGTGTGTGTGTGTGTGTGTGTGTGTGTGTGTGTGTGTTGTTTAAGCTCGCCCTCTGTTTCTCGGTTTATCCCTTTTCTTCCCCTGTCGTCCTCGTTTTATGGATCGAGTTCAGGAGTAAGCTCGCGACCGGCATTGCGAGCTCGAGCGAGTTGACGAGTAAGCTCGCGACCGGCATTGCGAGCTCGAGCGAGTTGACGAGTAAGCGCGCGACCGGCTTTGCGACTGAACCGGTCAGTCCATGCAAGTTGATGCAACGTACACGTGAGAAGACAGTGTCACACCATCGGCCCAAGGCATGCCAGGAAGGCGAAATGCGCCGCCCCTGTTGAGCCAAGGTGTATTTCAGTGAGGAGTCTGGGATTTGAGATAGGAGAGACGGGGAGCGCAGAGCAGAGGAGAGTAAAGGGCGTTTACGCCGTGTTTTTCCGCGAGGGGAATTTTCCCCGCAAAGGTAAGTGTCCGCCGACATGCGACAGCGAAAGGCTCCGTGAAATGTCTGTATGTGGACTGTCTGCTGTCTTCCCGCTCGCTGCCTGCTGTCTGTCCGCTCTCTCTCCATGCCACGCCGACCGCGCCAACCCTTGCCGCGCCGCAGGGAGGCTAGACTACGGCTGCGCAGCCAATAGTCCCACGCCACCCTACACATGCAGACAGCCATAGCCATACATTCTCACGAGCAAGGAGGAAAGAATAGAACGAAAGTAGCGCAAGCAGCAGCAGCAGCAGCAGCAGCAGCAGAAGAAGAAGAAGAAAAAGAAGAAGAAGAAGAAGAAGAAGACCTGAGAGGCAGCGAGGCCAATCGCCACGTGTGCACGTACATCAGAGAATCACATTCACAACCTCGTGGACATAGCTGATGCTCTAACGCGCTCATTCCTCGACGCGTTTCGGCTGGTTGCGCCTTGGCACTTGCTAGGATCAAGAGTCTTTCCGCACTCCCGCATCCACCGGTACGTTCTGTCCTGACTCCTGAGCAAAGAGGGCCGTTCTGGGCTTGCCCCCAAAACATATACTGACACAGCATCCACATCCGGGCCCCGACAGCACGTGAAGAAGAAGGAAGAAGGAAGAAGGAAGAAGGAAGAAGACGGAGGAGGAGGAGGAAAGCTCCTGAAGAAGCCGGAGAGGAGATGAGAAAGAAGCTCACGTGTGATTGCGAAGCACGATATTCGGAATCTTCGAAGATGAAATAGATAAATCGACGAAGGAGGAGGAGGAGGAGGAGGAGGAGGAGGAGGAGGAGGAGAAGGAGGAGGGGAGGAAAGTACCTGAAGAAGTCGGAGAGGAGGTAAGAACGAAGCTCATTTCTGATTGCAAAGCATGATATTCCGGATCTGTAGAGATATAAAGAGATAAATGGACGAAGAAGCAGGTAGAAGAAGGAGGGGGAGGAGGAGGAGGAAGAGGACAAGACCTGAAGAAGCCGCAGAGCGGCAGAGGAGATGAAAACGAAGCTCATTTATGATTGCAAAGCATGGTATTCTGAATCTGTAGATATATTCAAATAGGTAAATCGACGAAGAAGCAGGAAGAGGAGATTCAGAAGGGGGGTTGGAGAGGGGAAGGTATATACGGTGACGATTTGGAAGACCTTTGGCACAGGAAAGCATGAGTAGGTGGATATATTTAGAACTGGATGAATAAATCGATATGTACATGTTAGATTCGCAGATAGTTAGAGAGATTAAATAGATAGGATAAGCCGATTCGTAGATATTGGACGTATTATACAAAGGCACTTGGTCGGAAAAGGATCCATATGCATTGATGATTTTGAGCTAACATTTCGAACGGGTGTTCGCGTTGTTTCGTTGTATTTTCCTCCCCATGTAATGTAATCAGATTCTGGATAAGCCGATTCGTAGATATGAGACATATAATGCGTTGATGATTTTGATTGAGCTAACATTTGGAACGGGTGTTCGCGTTGTGTTCATTGTCTTTTCTTCCCCATTTAAGGTAATCTGGAGCAACAACGATGGCGTCGAAAACCCCACGGGACTCTGTGCTAGGTTGGGATGCCTCTCTGAACGGCCTGCTGACGGCTATGGCGCGGTTGACGTCAACGTTTTTGGTTCTCGGACTGCTTCTTTGTCTGGCCATGCCGCTGCCGGCATCTGCTTTCCCTACGGAAGTATCGGAGGCAGAGCGGAACGCCATCCGCATGAAATTCGAGAGTGAAGTGCAGACGGTAGGCAGCCAGGTCAGCGGCGGTCCTGCCGCTCCTTCCGTTCCGATCAGTAGGTCATGGGTTCGACTCCCGAAGTGTGATTCCACTGTTGCAACCGACGGCGGAGGTAACTTCCGCACCATACAAGCTGCCATTGATGCGGTTCCCCGTGGCCGAGGGCAGACGAGATGGGTCATCTGTGTGTCGAAGGGCACCTACAAGGAGAAGGTTAAAGTACCCATCACTGCGTCCTACGTCTCTCTCTGGGGCGCTCCACTAGACGCTACTCAAGTCACCATTCAGTGGGGGGACACAGCCGCCACTCCAGTCCCAGGTGGCACCCCTGGTCAGAAGCTTGGTAGCTATGACTCGTACACATTTGCCATTGAGGCCGAACACTTCAGTGCTCTCTACATCACCTTCCAGAACACTGCAGCTAGGCCAAAGGATGGCGACCCCAATGGGCAAGCCGTAGCCGTACGCACGAGCAATAACTACCAGGCGTTCTACAAGTGTCAGTTTCGTGGCCATCAAGACACCTTGTTCGCTCATCAAGGACTGCAGTATTACAGGGATTGCTATCTCCGAGGCTCGGTGGATTTCATATTCGGCAATGCCACGGCTTTGTTCCAGAACTGTGACGTGTATGCGGACGTCATCGACAAGGGATTCCTGACCGCACAGGCCAGAGCGACAGCGGCTGAGAACACAGGATTCGTGTTCCGCGGGGGTTCGGTGACCGGGACAGGACTGGTGTACCTTGGCCGGGCATGGGGTCTAGCCGCCAAAGTTGTCTTCCTGGAAGTCTACCTTGGTCCAGTCGTTAAACCGGAAGGATGGGATAGATGGGGCAAACCCACGAACGCAATCTTCTACGGAGAGTACAGTTGTTCCGGACCCGGATCAGCCAGGGCTGGGAGAGTGGGCTGGGCGTTCCAATTAACTGCTGCACAGGCACGGCCATTTTTATCTCCGAACTTCATCCAAGCGTCCACATGGTTGCCTACCTCGGGCCTCCCCGCCCAAGCCGTGCCGTACTAGGCATCACCACAATATACCAGTGGTACCAACTAATTGATCGCGCAACGTTTGGGAGGAAATGAGTAGTACCTGCGTGCGCTCGTCCTCGTCACCGCCACCCCGACCCCCATGCCACCTCTCTCTCTCTCTCTCTCTCTCTCTCTCTCTCTCTCTCTCTCTCTCTCTCTCTCTCTGTGTGTGTGTGTGTGTGTGTGTGTGTGTGTGNCTCTCTCTCTCTCTCTCTCTCTGTGTGTGTGTGTGTGTGTGTGTGTGTGTGTGTGTGTGTGTGTGTGTGTGTGTGTGAGTGAGAGAGAGAGAGAGGGGTTCGCGTCACTTCTTCGTTATGGAAAGGAGGTATCTTCTTTCGAGCTTGATATACGCTGCTGCTGAGCCTCGCTTTCGTGGTGTGGGGAAGTGCACCTGCTGGCAGCCCGGAGCCAAGTCCCTGTTAGATATCCAAGATCAACGGCGAAGGTGACTTAATCCGTGCAAGTATTTTTTTTTAATAATCTATGGGCACAACTCTCAACCTTCTTCTGCTGTTTCTGTTTATCCAAGTAGTTCCATTCGAGCTTACCTTCGTATTTCATCAGTTCATGGGTGTACCAACTGAGCTAGGCCCGGTGTTCTACCTTCTGCTGTCTCTTTCTGGTTAACCAGCTTGTTCTGAGTACTTTTTTTTCGTTTTTCAATTCACCTTCCACTACCTATACTCCTAAGGCTATACAGGGGAGCTTGCAAGCATAGGTACCTCACAATGAAGTAAGGGATTGCATGTTGCCCCTTGCCCTAGTGCTTTAGGGTGCAGCGTTGGGGCCGCTGGTGGGGGCCTGGCTAACGCAAAGACAGAGCATTTTGCCAGGAGCTGTGCCTCCCTTTTCCCGCTGGTGGGGGCCTGGCTAACGCAAAGACCGAGCATTTTGCCAGTAGCTGCGCCTCCCTTTTCATATTTCCCCACCCCCATCGGCTGATAGCAGTGTCTAAGGCCAACACTGTGTGTGGCGTGTTAGAGAGTGTGTTGTCCTTAGACACTGCTGTTCTGAGTACTTCAAATTTTAAATTATTCATATTCTATTTTCGGTTGAAAGGAGGATAGCTCCTGCTGTTGCCATATTCATCAGCAGGTTCCTCCAGAATTCGAACTCGTGATCAGTTCATTAAGTTAAACTTCATTACAGTCCTTTCTGCGGCAAATTATGCCCATCAGTCAGCCACATTTTCCTGGTTGCTAAGTGTTTCGAATGGCATTGCGTGTAAGATGCTTCTCCTGCCCCGGCCCCCGGCCTTATTCGTCCCGTGAGTCCCTCGCTCTTGAAGGTCGTAGAGTGAACTTATGGGCCTCGCTCCACTACTCACCACATGCGCAAAACTTGTCAAAGGACAAGATATGGGGTTGTGTCTCTCCATGTTGTAGCAGAAGACTCGTTCTCACTGTGCACATTTGTTGAGTGGTATAGCGAGGCCCTATGTCTCTCGAGTTCTACTTGTGGTGTCAGTAGGCCATGGTCTGCTTTGTTGGCTGGCATTGTATATATGTGTGAACTGCCTTGTTGGTGTTGACTACCAATCCAGGCCGCTTGTGTTGCTGTGCCGCTTTGCCCCTTGCCTTGTGTCCATAACTTTTCACCCCCTCACCGGCCAAACCGCCCTCTTGCTGTTGTTGTCTGTGACCTGCTTTGCCTGGATGTCCGTCTGCTTGCCGTGCTGCCCACCTACGACTGGCACAATGTTTACACACCAGATTGTTGTGCCTTATCTAATTGCTTGCTCGAGTGCCTTGCTGCCTGTCTGGCTGCCCGCCCGCCTGCTTCCCTGATCATGTGTGTGGCTGCTGCTTGGCTTGTTGGTTTGTTGTTTGTCTCCATGCCTTCCTGCCCACTCGCCCGCCCTCCACTTTACTGCTACCTCCTTCGCCTTGCTGTGTGGTTTGTCATTTGTGTGGCTGCCGACTCACAATCTATGTTACTGTCTGAACGCTCTGAACGCGCGTGCTCGTTCAAATGCATGCGTTCAATGCCCCCCTGCGCGCGTTCAAATGTGCCACGTGGCAGGGGGCGGGAAAAAATCAAACACGCCCCCCTGCTGGCATGAGCACACCGTGCACCGCCCAAGGGCACGCGGCATTCACAAAAAGGAAAAGAAAAAAAGAAAAAACAAATACCCCCCCCCGCGCCCCTCTTTATTGCTGTACAGTGTACACTAAAAAAAAGCATTTGATCGAACGATTGATCACACACACACACACACACACACACACACACACACACACACACACACACACACACACACACACATATCGATTCAATCATTCGATCGAACGGATTGGTTTAACCCATTTGAATGGTTCAATCAGTCAGTTCGATCTATTGAATCGATCTGTTGTGTGTGTGTGTGTGTGTGTGTGTGTTGATTGAATCGATCTGGTGTGTGTGTGTGTGTGTGTGTGTGTGTGTGTGTGTGTGTGTGTGTGTGTGTGTGTGTGTGTGTGTGTTGATTGAATCGATCTGTTGTGTGTGTGTGTGTGTGCCGACACACACACACACACACAACAGATCGATTCAATCAATCGATCGAACTGACTGATTGAACCATTCAAATGGGTGAAATCAATCTGTTCGATCGATTGATTGAATCGATCGTGTGTGTGTGTGTGTGTGTCAGACGAACTATACACTCAAAAAAAGCATGACTGTGCCAGATTGTTTCGATGGACTTTCATCGACTCATCCGGTGTGTGTGTGTGTGTGTGTGTGTGTGTGTGTTGGCTGCATGCGTGCACACACACACACACTCGCGCTTAGGTAAGTTTCTTTTTTTATTTTTATTTTTTGGTTAAGGAATGCGGGGGTGCCCGTGCCCCCTCCCTCGCCTCCATGACCCCTCCTTGCCAAACGTCCCCTTTTCACCCTACCCCACCCCTCCTCCGTGGCGTTTCGAGGTAGCCACAAACGCATTCACTGCGTTTGTGCATGTTCATTGAATGTGAGTTCAACGCGTTGAAATCTTGAACGTGAAACCAGCGTTCAAAAAACGGTAACCGTTCAATGAACGTGTGGTTACACAGCTCACAACAGGGACCTAACAACACAGTGACTGTAGAAGGATTCCGGACACTGTCGAGGGTCCAGCCTCGTGGCGAGTCTTTGAGAGTGCGACAAAACATGGTCCACCCTCCTGATGTGTCTTTGAGAGTGAAACAATACATTCTGTCATTAACACCTTGTGTCCTTGTTAGTCGTTCTCGAGCCTTATGTCGACTGTATATTTTGTTGTGGTTTGTGAGTTTTATGTTGGGGACACCTGGGTCTTATGCTCAATCATCAACTAGTGCACGGAACTGGGAAGCTTGGGAATGTGGCGTTGGGATTTCATGTCAAATCGCTACCCTGGAGGTACGAGCTTTAGAGAAATTAGAGGGCCGCTGCACCGCTCAGCGCTCGTCAAACGCCAGCACTTTGAATGAATGTTGACCTGAGTTTTGGCCCGATACATTCAGAATGTTGGTCTTTGGCGACTCCTACGGCAAGCCCCTTAAATTGCCAGTACCGCACCCAGCTATTGATGCCGAGCCTACACTCCCCCTGCACGCCAAAGAGAAACCAAGCGGCGTGGGCCTGCTTTTGGCTGGTGCCGCCAGGCTCCAGCCACTTGGATCCGGTACTGAGCCCCCAAAAAATGCGGCCGTCAATGAACCTCGACTTCGTGTTTCAAGCGGGGAAAGCTACCGATGGTTTAAACCACCAGTACTTGGCCTAGCTATCGGCTGCCGGAAAAAAATAGAGTAGAAGTGTTACTAGTCCGATGAATTTGGGCGCTTCTGTAGTGGCTCGTTCGTTTCTTAAAGTTGTGGCTTGTTTACGGGCACGACGTTAGCAAGTACTGGTGGTTTAAACCACCAGTACTTGGGCCCAGCTATAGGCCGCGGGCTTTCCCGTTAACGCGCCGCACCTTTAGGGCTTCGGGGTACTGGACCACAATGGCTGGAAGCGCCAGCCAAAAAAAATTAAAACGGTACCCCGGCGCTTTGGCGAAAATCGGCACGCAGGGGCATTCCAGGCTCAGCATAGATAGCTGGGCCAAGTACTTGTGGTTTAAGCTTGGTTGCTGAAGGGAGCCATCATGTCTTGGCGTACAGCTCGGTCCGTGGCCTAAAAGATGCACGTATCGAATCTTTAACCTGAAGGTGGGAATTGTGGTTGCAGAAGGGAACCATAGTAGGAGGGGTAATTGCAGAAATGGCGTGTTATCGAAGTTTCCGAGCGGAAATGTTGTCGGGGTCCGAAAGATATATTTTTGCAACGAAAGTGGGACCCGGCCCGGAAATATTTTTGCTGTGAAACTACGGGGACCTGCACCTGTAAAGCTGCAACGGAAGATATATTTTTGCAACAAAACTTGGGCCCCGCAACTATTTTTGCTGTGAAACTACCACGACACTATTTTTCAAACTTACCCACCACAGGAAATCAAGAGATGATGGGCGTCTTCGCTAAGGGGAACGAAGACATGGGGTCTCGCCCCACAGCACCCTACATGCATTTGGACACTTTCTCAAGTCTTGACCAGATACATTCAAAATGTTGGACTCGTCTGAATGCACCTTGCGCAGAAAGCATCCAAATGCATGTAGACAGTTCTGTAGTGGAGGGAGGGCTATGATGGTCCTCCACGCTGACGGGAAACATCATGATGGTTTCCTTCAGCGTTGGCAGTTTCCATCGAGAAATGTGGTGGCTGAGGGTTGGGTATCATACCAGGTCTCCATTATGCAGTTCTTGTTCTTGCTTTTTTTTGTGACAAATTGTGTTGGCCTTTTTTTGACAACATGGGGCCTCGCCACACCTATGTCGAAACATGAGTCTTCAACATTTTTTCTTCGCCACACAGACTGTTGAAGAAAAAATGTCAGAAACAACTTCGACAATTGTCGTCTTCAACATTTATTGAGGTGTGGCAAAGGCGGCCTTTGTGTGGAAACCGTGAATGTCGAAAATGGTCTCACAGTTGTCGAATATTTACAGTTTTGACACAAAGGCTGCCCCTGTAACTTCCATTATTGGGAAAATTCCTATATTTATTTATTTTTTTATTATTTTTTTTTAAAGAAAAAAATCAATTCATTACCAATAAGTTCCGAGGCCAGGGACCTCACAATTCGACCCGGGGTATCTGACAGCATCAGCCAGCTTAGCTTACAGGTAGAAGACCTGCGGAAACAACTCTAAGCTTGCTACAGAGTGTTCCCAGTGAACTAAGATAACTACAGCAAATGAGCCTGACCTTGACTTACTGTGACAAAGGGGAATACGGAACATTAACCCACTATTTACTGCAGATAGGGAGCCTGTGAGCAACTGAAACACACTTCCTGGACGTCTTCTGAAGAAGGGAGACATAATTATAGTAGATTATGGGTTAGACCTACTTCTGGGACTAACGCGGCCCAGAGGACCTGCCTACAGTCCTATTCCTAGTGGCACTCTCCTAAAGGTCTACCTTGATCCTACACAACTCCCTGGTTGGTACCTCTAGTGTCAAATCACCCTGTAGTCCTAGCCTCAACCACCCAGCTTGAGAAGGTCAGCCCCCTTGTTGGGTGAACTTCCATGATCTGATACAGCTTGGCCCAGGTGTTACGGAACCACTGAAGTTGATTAGCACTACCTCTGCCTGCTCTCGCTTTTCTCCTCCAGTCTACCCGGATAGCTAAGCCTTGCCTCAAGCCATGTTTAAAGAGTCTCTTGATTTCTGTGTCTGAGAGAGGCTTCTTGTGAAAGCGTGATCTGTTTCTGTCTGACCAGATGATCTCACAGATCAGACCCCTTATCAAGTTATCACATGTGCTATGTATCCCGAACCCCGGTGGCCACTCACACCTGGTGGCAGAAAACCCAAGAGCGCCCATTTTTCCTCCCAGACTATCTGCTGTCCCCCAAATTCCTGCCAGTGATGAGCCCACCAGTTCCACACTTGCTTCGAGGCTGGCCAGTCCCACCACAAATGTCTGCCAGTGGTAGACTCGAAGGGCCATCTGCATCTTGTGCAACCCAAACTGACCTCCATCCCCCTACTTGTCAACCAAAGCGCTGAAGGCGTCACCATTAGGGAAAGTAACCACAAGATACTCACCTGTTTACCGTTTGGAAGGGAGGATATGTGACGCGCAACCTCACACCCTGT